GACAAAGCAATGAACCGCACAAGCCTGCATCCTTATCTTTCCGTTCGAAACCCGCGTGATGGACTGGAACTGCTGAGATAACCCTAAACCCTAAATAAACCCTAAACCCTAAACCCTAAACCCTAAACCCTGAGAGTGGGAGTCAAGCAAAACAAAAAGCGGGCTACAAGAAGTATGTAGGAACAACACGACGTCAACTGTAGTTGGTGCAAGCTACAGTGAGGATCGAAATATCGATGTACAGTACCTGACTGCTGCTTCGGGAAAAACAAGCGTGGAGAAGGCAGAAAGCAAACTATGCAAGGATAACGCTTCCTTGTGCCTGCAGAATCATCGCGACGTCGATCGTAGCGAGCATGTTGGTGTTATGCATGGCTGCACGCAAATGCTTGGACGGCGAAACGAAAAGCTGTAGGCGGTAGGCAGGCTTTTGTGGGCCATGGCTGAGACAGATGAGCGGTTCCTAGCGGACGCCCGCCGCGGGAAACGCAAGCTCAGCAAACTGAACAGCAACCCTCAAGACGTTTGTGTGCAGCAACAGCTTTGCATCAGCGGTGGTTGGATATAGAAACCGATTCACCTAGATGTCGCAGACTTTGCAGGCACGGATATGGTCAGTGTGCAAACTACGTCGGTCTGGTTGCCTCAAATCTTGCAGGGCTTCTGCCGCTCGGCTCCTTGCTCAAAACGGTTTCTCAAGACTTGCAAACGCAGGTTCTGCGATGCAAGGGCGAGGCTGAGGAGGCAAAAGCAGCCCGAGCCAGCGGCTTGCGTGCCGAGTTGTGGGAGGACGAAGCCTCCCAGAATGATGTGTCAGACGACAAGCCGAGCAAGCCAAGCGCCCGTCGAAAATGTTTGAGGGAGGCATCTGTGGTGTCTCACCGTGGGCACACATTGACGGTGGCTTGGAGGCGCAACACCTTCTATGTTGCGGCCACATCGGAGTCAATGGCTGCCTTGGTTCAGATCCTACGCACCTACACGAAGACGGAAGTTACGGAGAAGTCGCCCCAGAAGCCCAAGGAGCCCAAAGACTCGGACGCGCCCGAGGAGCTCGCTGAGGGATGCGTGGTGTGGAACTTTCCGGGCAAGACATGGGTCGTCCGCTACTTGGATGCAGATGGAAAAAACACTCGCGCACGAAAGGCTTGCTTGAGTGTTCCGGACAAGGGCTTCGACGGTGCCACACTCCCCATCGCAGACTACAAGCGGATCCGGCGCGAAGTCCAAACCAAAGCGATGTCGCTTTGGAACGAGTTGGACCAGTCTGACAGACCCAGGCTCGAAATTTCTGAGGCATAGCTTCCG